CCCATGGGCCCAAGCTGAAGCTGTGTCCGGGGCTAGTGATCCATGGTGGAGTTTATCTATTTGTGCTGTAGACCCAGAGTTGAGTTTTGTCCCTCCCATCTGATTCCCCAGCTAACACTGTGTCCCTAACCTGTCATTTTTTAGCATGTGGTAGGCATTCCCCCAGGCACTGCCAAGATGGAGCTGGGCAATAGATTAACAGAGGAAGAGTCCACGAAGAAATCCAGAGTGTTTCAGCTGGCTGATTCTCCTTAGATGCACCAATCCGGCTGTAGATCAGGTACCCGGCCTCTTCGTTGGTAAAGGAATGGCCTGTCGCAGCTGCTTCAGTTATCCCTGCCCTGTATTCTAATGATGTGACTGGGGAGTGATGCTCCTCCCAGTTGAGCAGCTCACAGGCATCCTGAGAAGGGGGTCAGCTGCCAGAAGCTGATAGAAAACCGGAGGGAAAGGAGACAGTTTTAGAGGTATCAGGCCAGCCTGAGACAGGGAAGTTGTTGCTTCCCAACCAGCTTTGAAGGGCTGGCAAAACGGTGAGATCTCCCCGGAGCACTCTTGTTTCTGCACCCCCAACATGACGGGAGAGACCCTACATCCTCAACATGCCATCTAGTCATCTGTCACCTAACTATTGGATCTTGCTGTGTATGAATAGACCACCACATTGTAATGGGGTACCCACTTAAACACTGTGTTAACGTGTCCTTTGTTGTCTGAGAGATTATGAAAGTGACACCTTTCACATCTTTCTGTGAATTACTGAGCAATTCAGCGATCAGTCATTTACACAGACTGAATATTTTACACACGGGTCATTTCCAAAATGCTTTTGAGGATCCTTGTCGTTGTAATTCCAGAACAGAAATTATAATTTTCCTTTTAAACAGAAGATGTCACTCCCTGAGGGTGGTTGAGATTTGCAATTAAGACAGAGCTGAAATAATTGAAGAGATATTCCCAGAGGTTATCGCTGAGCTGAGTTTGGGTGACAATTGGGTGCGCTTGGTATGTTTTACATTGTTGTGGGCAGGTTACTGATGGAAAGCCTTTGCTAATGTTTGTACATTTTACTGGTTTCAGTGCCTGTGATATTCCCAGATTCTTCAGTGTCTCCTGCTGAACATTAGCAACTGTTTAGCTCAAATCACTGTAGGAAACTAATACTGAAGGTCTGAATAAATCCATATTGTCAGCCAGAATTTTAAACGTGTTTAGAGGGAAGGTCGCGATCACTGTCCCCAGTGAGCCCTGGGTTAGGGAAGATTCCTGTTCCCGATCACTGTCTGAGTGAGCCCTGGGTTAGGGAGGATTCCTGTTCCCAATCACTGTCCCCAGTGAGCCCTGGGTTAGGGAGGATTCCTGTTCCCAATCACTGTCCCAGTGAGCCCTGGGTTAGGGATGGTTCCTGTTCCCGATCACTGTCCCAATGAGCCCTGGGATAGGGAGGGTTCCTGTTCCCGATCACTGTCACAGTGAGCCCTGGGTTAGGGAGGATTCCCCTTCCCGATCACTGTCACAGTGAGCCCTGGTTTAGGGAGGGTTCCTGTTCCCGATCGCTGTCCTACTGAGCCCTGGGTTAGGGAGGATTCCTGTTCCCGATCACTGTCACAGTGAGCCCTGGCTCTCACCTGGAAATGACCTATTGGAGTGAGAGTTGGAGAATTTTTGGAATTGTATAGGCCCAACTTGCAGGTGACAATGAAAAATACTTTGCCTCAGGTTGCTATAGATCGGGGAAAGCGTGTCAGCTCTGAAAAATTGAACTAAACACGAAACAGATTTCAATCCGTTGGGTGAAGGGGTTTTAATTGGTGCATTGCCTGCCCAATGAAATCATAGCACCAATCTCAGGGCAATTAAATGCGGGGGCTTTGTTTGTGGTGACGTTATCATTGCCTTTCCTGAGAGGTATATAAACCAGATAAAAGTGAAGGGGCTAGAGTTTGACAGAAAGAGTGACAGAGAAGTTCGTCTCAGGAACTGACGAGAGTTTTCTAAAGTCGTTGCCATCTCCGACCAAACAGAAAGAAATTTACTGCTCAAGATGTCAAGATCGCAGACTCACTTGCTCCTGACTCTGATCTCTGTTACTCTGCTATTGCTGAGGAGTTCAGGAACAGCCAGAGGGGAGAGTTTGCCAGACATATTACAGAAGACAAACCCTGAGGAGAAAGAGGTAAGGAAACCTTCACCCTCACCCTCCCTGCTTCGAATCTCCATCCTGCCCCAAGGGAATGGATTAATCTTACATCTTGCGCTCTGATTTAACTCCACTGAACTCCAACTTTATCTCTTCAAAATAACCTAATGCCTCATTTCGTTCAGCTTTTAGTGGAATCCCATCTGATTTTTATTTTATATTGGACTATATATTTTATTATTTTATATTCTGGAGGTGAAATATGAGAGGGAGCTGGATTAACATCAGTAGGGATACAGTCAGTAACACAGGGCGCTGGGGGGAGAGGGGTTACTAAGTGACAGTGTGAGGGAGCTGGATTAACATCAGTAGGGATACAGTCAACAACATGGGGTGCTGGGGGGGGTGGGGAGAGGGGTTACTGAGTGATGATGTGAGGGAGCTGGATTAACATCAGTAAAGATACAGTCAGTAAGAAATATTAAAGTGTGAAATTTGCCACCCTGAATATGGCACTCAATAACATTTCCCCCAGTAATTCAATTTGAATATAACCCTTTTAAAAACTATTGAAAGGTACAAGAGAAGTTGTGATAAATCAGCAGGTAGGAGTTTAAAGGTTGCTGGGTGCAGGTGGAAGTTTCTAGAACCCTGGGGAAAACCTCTGTTTCATCAGTTGAACAGGATCAAACTTCCATTTGAAAGCTAAAATGGAGACAGGAGAAAGAATGTGTGGGACGGGAAATGTGAGTGTGTGAGAGGAAGGTTCAAGAGTTTCTGGAGGAATTAAGTCGCATTTTAATAACTAGATGTGAAAAGAGGGGACCAGAGACAGCACAGAGAGAATAGATAGCTGTATTCCTCCTGTGTCATCTGTGTTACAGTGGGTGGCTCTCTCTGTCTCCCTCTCTCTGTCCTTTTCTCCCTGCCTTGGTCTCTCATTCCCTTCTCTCGCTCTCTCACTCTCTCGTGCTCTCTCTCGTGCTCTCTCTCTCTCTCTCTCTCTCTCTCTCATCTCCAGGTTAGGAGTTTGTGGAATAAGTTCAAAATTTTCAGCACAAAATCCAGACCAGACAGTCCTGATGCAATGCTGAGGGAGTGGGCACTGTTGGAGGGTCAGCGCTGAGGGAGCAGGCACTGTCAGAGGGTCAGTGCTGAGGGAGCGGGCACTGTGGGAGGGTCAGTGCTGAGGGAGCGGGCAATGTGGGAGGGTCAGCGCTGAGGGAGCGCCGCACTGTCGGAGGGTCAGCGCTGAGGGAACGCCGCACTGTCGGAGGGTCAGCGCTGAGGGAGCGGGCACTATCGGAGGGTCAGCGCTGAGGGAGCGGGCACTATCAGAGGGTCAGCGCTGAGGGAGTGGGCACTATCGGAGGGTCAGCGCTGGGGTGGGGTGCTACATTGTCACTATGGTGGGTGACATTATTTCGGGAAGCCCCATCTACCCTCTCAGGTTGGTAAAAGCCAGTTCGGAGGAAGAGCTTGGTGGAGTTCTCCCACAGGTCCTGAGGTCAATATTTATTTATCCCTCGCCCTCAAAACAAAGTAGATCTGGGTCGTTTTCACGGACACTATTTGTGGGCTCTTACTGTGCCACAATTCCTACAGTGACGTGCTGGGGTGGGTTGCTTGCTGGAGGAAGCATTGGCCTTGGAGCCAGCGGGCCGCCCTGAGGGACGTGCCGGGCGCTACGATAATGAATGCCAAGCCCCGCTTGTGTCTTGTCTCTTTGCTACTAGGAGCTGTCCAGGGTCATGGTGCTGAAACTCCTGTCTGAGCTGCTCCGAGCCGACAGCCCGGCGCTGCCCCGCTTCGAGAGACGGGGGCTCGGTCAAAACCAGCTGCTTCGTCGGTGGAACACCCCGCGGGACCGAAAGGCCGGCTGCAAGAATTTCTTCTGGAAGACATTCACGTCCTGTTAACCCGGAGTTCGTTCTCCAAGCCACCACCACAAGATCCCTAATCCCAGAGTTCACCTCCAAATGCTACAGACATCTTCAACAAACTCTGTAAAAATCGCCTCTCCTCATCTGGATTAATTTTTTTTTGTCTTGTGTTTGTCTCTTGTGTTGTAAATTACGGATTCGTTTCCATTATTCTGAGAATGAATGGATCTCACACAATAAAATAAACTTTTCTTGCACACTCAATAAGCTAATGCCTTCTATTGGATTTCTGGGTGGGTTCCACACCATTGCAATCAAAGGCTCAGCTGTAAACCACCCGACTGATCCCAGGCAGAGAGGGATTATCTGTCAGAGACAGCACAGTCAGTGAACAATTTCAGAGTTTGGTACATAACAGCTGTAAGGACGGTTTCACGACCAGCCTCATTGCCCCACACAAAACAGTCTGACTTTGAAAACGGAGGTGGATTTTGGCAATAATGTTTCAGGGTCGTGTATAGCTCAGTGTGAATATTTAGTCAATTCCTGAAGCATCAGTTGGTTGATTACAAATCCAACTGACTTAAGCCAGGGAGTAAAGTACTCACAAAATGTTTAAACAACACAATTACCTTTCTTGAAAACTAACACACAAACACACACACAGTTTCTAATCCTTGGGGGGGGATAAGACTTTGCAGTTTGTTAGTTTAAAAGTATTTTGCCAAGTATCAACTAAATTAAAGGGGAAGAAGTATTCACGGACTGTCTCAAACATTGGTCTGGAGTTCTAGTCACTTTGTCCACCAACTATTGGCGTTGAAGTTTTCCAGTTTTTCCCAACACAATGCTGACCAGCTGGTGTATTGGAAGCATTTACAAGTCAACAGACGGCCTGTTGTTTGTGTTACAAATACCCTTACCTGTATCCATCAAGAACTGGAATGGGATTTGAACTGGGAGTACTCTGGCTCAGAGACAGGGACACTAACCACTGTGTTACAAAGCCTCCCCTCACCCTGTGCCTAAACAAATGATTTTCCAAAATTAAGGGGGATAGTAGGAACTGCAGATGCTGGAAAATCTGAGATAACAAGGTGTAGAGCTGGATGAACACAGCAGGCCAAGCAGCATCATAGGAGCAGGAAGGCTGACGTTTCGGGCCTAGACCCCAAGGGATTGTTTCTTTGGAATGGACAACTTTCAGTTGTCATTTTTTCATTCTATCGCTCCTACTCCTTTAAACAGAGCAATGGTATTACCTGTCAGTGGAATATCAGTATGGGGAACTGAGGAGATTCTGTGATTGAGTCTTGTACAAGCTTTTCAGACACAGCCAGCAGGGCCCTGGGGAGCCTAAGTGTTGCCAAATAAAGCCCACTCAACTTTTTTGAGGAGGTCACAAAGCCACAGATAAGGGCATGCCCGTGGATTTATTTCCATGGATTTCCAGAAGGCATTTGGTAAAATTTCACACAACAGGCTGTTAACAAAAGTGCACACAGAAACTCCTTTTGTTCTTTCGCAGGGAGAGAGCGATGGCTGGTCAGGCCAGCATTTATCCCTAGCTGCCCTGGAGAAAGTGATAGTCAGTTGTCTTCTCGAATCATGACAGTCTTCAGGCTATGAGTATGCCCAGGATTTTGACCCAGTGACAGTGAAGAAGCGGTGATATAGTTCAGGATATTCTATGGCTTGATGAGGACTTTATAGTTGGTAACATTTGCATCTACCCACACTCACAAGAAGAGACGTCCTCTCCCCCTCCACTCTGTCAATGACACCCCCCCCCCCCCAACCTCCCAACAACCCCCCCCGCCCCCTCCCCAGGACCTTACATGATTCAGTCAAGTCACTTCTACACTTTGGACTTCATGGAGCCCAGCCTGTACAGCCAAGACACACCACCCATCCCAGTATTAGTCTGGTAAGACTTCCAAACTGCTTTCCAATGGATTTACACCCTTCTTTAAATAAGGAGACCACTACTGTGTACAATATTCCAGACATGGTCTCACCAGTATCCCATATAACTGGAGCATAACCTCCTTACTTTTGTTTTCAATTCCCTTCGAAATAAACAATAGTATTCATAGAATTGCGGCAGTGCAGAAGCAGGCCGTTTAGCCCAATCCTCTAAAGAGCATCCTGCCCAGACACACCCCTATCCCCATGACCCTTCATTTCCCACAGCTAACCCACATATCCCTGGATATTATGGGCAATTTAGCACAGCCAACCCACCTAAACTGCACATCTTTGGAGAAAACCGACACAGAAACAGGGAGAATGTGCAAACTCCACACAGACAGTCACCCAACAGTGGAATCAAACCAGGGTGCCTGGTGCTGTGAGGCAGCAGTGCTAACCACTGAGCCACCATGCCACCCCCAATACTCTATTCATTTTCCTGATTACTTGCCATACCTGCAGACTTACATTTTGTGATTCATGCATAAGGACACTCAGAGCACTGCAACCTCTCACAATTTAAAACATGTGATTTTTTTTTTACTTCCTGCTAGGATGGATAATTTCCCAGTATCCCACATTATGCTCCATTTGCCAGACTTTTACTCAGTCACTTAAATTTGTGAAGCAAACCTAAAGAGATTACAAGGTATGGATAAAGCGTGAGTGCCTCTTTGTAATCTCTTTATGTTCACTTTGCAACTTATTTTGCTATTTACCTTTGAGTCATTAGCAGAATTAGCCACCACATTTTCTGGCCCTCTATCCAAGTCATTTGTATAAGTTGTATAATCAGTGCAGCGTCAGCACTGGAACAGTGCTCTCACGCCATTCCATCTTGCCAGGTCCCATTTGTGCCCGCTTCTGCTTTCTGTTATCCATCCAGCGAATCTTCTACTCATGCCACTATGGTATGCCCTGAACCTCTATTTCCTTCAGTAAATGTGGCACATTGTCAAATGCTTTCTGGAAATAAAAGCATACCCACTGATTCCCTTTTATCCACAGCATGTGCTACCTTCTCAAAGAATTGATTGGTCAAGCATGATGCCCCTTCTGCAAAACCATATTGATTCTGCTTGAATATGTTGAACCTTTCCAAGTGCCCTGCTACAATAATAGCAGCCTCTAACATTTTTCCAATGATGGTTGTTCAAGTTAATTGGCCTGTCGTTTCCTGTTTTCTGTCTCTCTCTTTCTTTTTGAATAAAGCATTTACATTCACTAATTCCCAATCTAAAGGAACTGTTCCCAAATCTAGGGGATTTTGGAAAATTAGACTTGAGGCATCATCTCTCTTACAAGTCATTTCTTCTAAGGCCCTAGGATGAAGTCCATCAGGACCAAAGGGTTTACCAGATCATATTCTAACACTTCCCTGGTGATTCTAAGTTTCTTTAGTTCCTCTCAAACTTCCATTTCCTGATTTACAACAATTTTTGGAGTATTTATGTATTTCCTCTACAGCGAACAGTGAAATAGAAAATACTTATTCAGCTTATCTAACACCTCCTTATTATTAATTCTTCAGACTCATTTCTTATAGGAGCTTTTCCTTTTGAAGTATCTGTAGAAACTCTCACTATCCGTTTTAATATTTCTAGCTAGCTTTCTCTCGCACTCTAATTTGACCCTCCTTCTTAATTTTTTTGACTTTTTTTTATATTCTGTCCAATCCTCTGACCTGCCACTAGCCTTTACACAATGATATGCTTCATCTTAATGTTTTTAACTAATCGGAGATGGAAGATCCTTCTTTTAGAATGTCTCTTTCTCACTGGAATGAGAAATTCTCTTCTGCATGTTCTGAAATATCTATGCAAATGCATGTCACTGCATCTAATGGACATAGCTCTTAACTGAATTTGCCAGCTCACTTTAGCTAGCTCTGTTTTCACAGCCTTGTAATTGTTCTTAATTAAGTTTCAAATACTAGTCTTGGACCCACTCCTCTCTCCCACAAACGGAATATAAATTTTAATCATATTATGGTCGCTCTTACCTGGAGGCATTTAACAATGAATCATTAATTAATCCCAGCTCATTGCACAATACCGGGCCTGGTATAGCCAGCTCTTTGGTCAACTCCAGAAACTATCCCCAAAACATTGTACGATACTGGGTCAAAATCATGGAACTCCCTCCCCAACAGCACTGTCAATGTATCCACACAGACCGCAGCAGCTCAAGGAGGCAACTTACCACCACCTTCTCCAGGGCAACTAGGGACGTGGCAATAAATGTTCATCCAGCCAGCAATGCCCCCATCCCATGCATGAATAAAAAGAAGTAGTGAGCAGGTACATAAAATAATGTTAAAAGACTAATGGAACGCTAATGATTACTTCAAGGGGATTGGGTGCAAGGGCAGGGAGTGATGTCATATTTATTATAAAACCAGTCAAAGCCCCACCATAGAGGTTAACAGCATGGAAACAGGCCCTTCAGCCCAACTTGGCCATACTGCCCAGTTTTCACAATTTAAACTGGACCCATCTGTCTGCGTTTGGTCCACATCCCTCCATCCCTATCCCATCCACGAATCTGCCCAAATGTTTCTTAAATGATAAAACTGTGTTCACCTCCACCGCTATCTCTGGCAGCCTGTTCCAGACTCTCACCACCCTCCGTGTGAAACAATTTGCCCCTCTGGACCCTTTTGTATTTCTCCCCTCTCACCTTAAACCTATGCCCTACAGTTTTAGACTCCCCTACCCTGGGGAAAAAGCTGTAATCCTCATCATTTCATAGACTTCTATAAGTTCACCTCCTCAGTCTCCTATGCTTCAGGGAAAAAAAAGTTCTCCAGATGGGGTCTATGATGGTATAAGGACATATGTGCTTTGAAAATGAAATTGAAAAATAGAAGTGTGGATTATTCAGGGTTTCACTTTGAGCTCAAAGGAAAAATGAAACTGCCTGGCATTCCCTAATTGGCTGCACAAGGTTGTGTAACTTTTTGGGAGCAATTCGATTTGAGGCTTTTATGAGATAAACTGGCACCAGGTGTCTTTCGGGGTTAAAAGTAAGAAACTGGCCAGCAACAGCTTTAGGATTGGCTCTGAAGAGCAGTTTGTCGCAGAACTGAGACGAGAA